GCTTGTTGAGCAGATCTCTTTGTCAACGAATTCCGGATCTCTGCATTGTTTCCAACAAACGACAAAAGACTGCACGATACTGGTTTTAATGTTGCCAAAGCACTTCAGGAAAGGGATCTTGAAGTCCGGTTTGAAGATTCATCTGGAAGTTATCTCTCACTGTAGGTGTTTGGAGATTGAGATTTGAGAGATTGAACCTTTAAGCCTTCTTGCAATTCTATCTCTCTTAGGTTTAGATTTGATGCGGAGGTTGAGTTTACATGGCACGAGACGGTGATCTGTTTGGCATTCTGCTATGCATCACATGAGTATGATGAATATCTTGGACGTTTCTTTGACACACTAAGACATAGGTCAAACTCCATCGCCACCAAACTCGAAAATCTGCCGACAGGGTCGAGAATGCATCCACGTTGTCTTTAAACTGTCCCTCTGCTGGAAGATAGTACTTGTAATAGTGTGTTGTTGCTCTGCACAAAACTCTAGCAGAAGCCGTCCGTTGTCGTTGAAGTTTCCAACACCATGCTTAAGTAGTATTTCTTTCTAGTTTTCAGAATTCTTTCCTACTCTAACGTTGAAGTCACCGGGGATTACCATCTGCAGGAACCTTTTGGATGAGACGGTGCTGGTCGATATAGAATTTGTCTCTTTCCTTAGGATCAGTTTGCAGAGTTGGGGCATGTATGCCGAAAAGAACAAGTTGCTTGTTGTGCAGTTGGAAGCGTAACAAAAATGATGCGGTCGGAATGATTTGCCGGTAAATTTTTGAGTTTGGAGGCGACAGAGTTTTTAACCATGAAGCCAACTTCTGAAAGATGACTTTCGGTTTTGGGTTTGCCTGACCAATAGCGTGTTTAGCCGACACCATTTCTTTGATACTGGTGTCCCCATGAAAACTTTACTGAGAGCAGCAATGTCTATGTTGAGTCGTGGTCGCTCGTGGACAATTAGAGATCAGAACGACGTTCAGGACGTCACTATCTGCTTTATCAAGCATAATTATGATATTCCAACATGCGAGCGTCAATCTGAACGCATCTTTGGAAGCAAGCGTATGCCTTTGTATTTGTTATTGATATCGCTAGTGGAAACGGAATAGTAATCCCCTCTGTGGAAAGCCAGACACCTTTGTGTTATATGCATTTATTGTTTTACATTTGCGCTAACAGAGAGAGCTATACCGGTGTGAGCTCCATAAAGATGCTCATTTTTGTAATCTTAAAACAATACTGGTCTCTCCCATTGAGGAAGTGCAGGATCCTGAGCACCAAAACCAGATGCTCATTAGCCGCGCTGTGAACCGAAGAGAGGGTGATGATCTTTGGTTAGACCACTTTTTCTAGGCCCCTCTCCGTATGGAGCAAGTACTGCTGTCTTTGAATAAAGCTGTTTGGTCATTCAGGTAGTTGCCGAACAAGACCGTCATCTTCGGGTCAGCAAAATTCCGAGTGACCAATGTTCTGAGCCGCTTATATGTAAAGTTAAATTTGCGGTTTCCAGTACATCTTATCACCTGTCGTTTCGTCCCTTGCCTATCGTAACAGGTCTTTACCAATTTAGGTATATCTTTCGAGCCCACGCAGTGGCTTTTTTTAAGTAAGGCACAGCGTGCGTGGAACTGGCCTCATCTTTTACTTTTAAGGTTTATCTGCTGGGGCCTAGCAAGCTTGGACGGTGGCAACGAAGTCCTACATATTGTTTGGATGTTTGTTTTACTTTACGTATTTCAGTATCATAATAATAAGCCTTCTTTTGGACTGCGGAACATATATGAAACACCTTATAAATTAAATTAAATTAATTGGTAAAGATCGATCGTAATGCTCTGTTTTCAATATTACTAAGACCTAAAGCGTATCGTAAGTACAATTCGGTTTTAATTTCAGCCTATTAAATAGCAATATTTTGGATGGTAAATGTATGCAGTACTATCTGCAGACACTACTGCAACATCTGAAATTGGAATAATTTAAATATGGGCGATTTGAAACAGATATGTCGAAAATGGCACCCATTTACGCTAGGTATGATTTAAAGGGTCTTCATTTATCTATCCGCCACATTCATTTGCACCGCATCATTTAACACAATTCCAGTTCGCCTCACGGATCATAGTAAATATTTGCAACCCTTATTTTTCAGTAATTAAAAGAACTTTTTTAAATAATATAATATATCAATACAAAAAGTAAAATGGGAATTTTTGTGGGGAAAAAAGAAGAGAAATGGCAAGGTAATTAATCAGTTGCCAAATAATAACAATGAAATATATCATACGGCCGATGAGTAAAAGTGCACAAGGACATTACTATTCTAGGGAACATCATTTCCATTTTAATGATATTTCATACGTTGTTCGGTAAAATTTTTTAAGCTAATGTCAGCTTGCCTAATTTTCCCGAGTTTAGCGACGTTATTGCACCAGAACTTCGTAAATTAAATAATGACCTCAGATTATTGATGTCCGAAGAATGAAGAATTTGCTTAGAGCCAAGGACCGAAATAAAAAAAGCTGTAGGCCAACATCGTCTACCGTACAAAGACTTAAAAACATCATTTAGACAGAGGTTTAGAAAGTCAATATGAGCACTTTACGCAGATGAGAATACTGTGGAAGCCCGAAACATAATTGTTCAAAGTATTTCAATCATATTATTGGGTACAGTGGATACTAAATATTCTAAAACATTATGAATTCAACATTTTATGAATTGGGAACTGAGAAAGTGGACAGAGATAATTAACAGTGTCCATTAGAGTTACTAAGTAATTGGGGCCTTACATAGGAAATGTTGAAAATGGATTACACCGATAGTAGAACACAAGAGGCATACATTTGTCGAATGGTAGCATTCATTAACCTGACGTTACACAGTTGTGCAGTAGCAAACTAACTGCTGACAATGGGAGGATAGGAAGCGTAACAGAATAGCATGCAGTAGAGAGTGAGCAGCATCATTTCCAATAGTAATATCATATCTGAGGATGAAGAATCAATACGCAAAGGCTTCTTTGCTGAAAATGGATGATTTTGCAATTGCGCAGCTTTAGTTTAGTGTCGGATAGCAGTTAAGTGGATAATAGTATGCAAAGTGAAATCTCTTCGAAGTTGGCGTCTTCACATCCATAATGCTCTACATTATGGACTACATTACGGTACTTCATACTCCTGTCAGACGGAGTGATAAAAATAAGCTGAACAATGAAGTCCAGGACCACTTGTCAGGTGATTCGAAATTTTTCACATCCGAATTTTGACGAAGACAATTCATGGAACGAATACGCTGTTCAATTATACGGCGATAATAAAAAACGTCACTCCAATACCAACCGCTTAATTACCTTATCTGGATTTAACTCCCTGTTAAAAATCCCTTGGAATAAATCCGATACTTTTTCATTTCATTTTATGTTTTGTATTTATTCGATATCCTTGGATCAAAAATAAGTGAATAACAAATACAGAAAAAGACCGGAATAGCACAATTCATACCACTTTAATTTCGGTCCATTGTTGATAGAACAACGGTAGCTTTACAAGAAGCAATAATAATTACCAGTGCTTTGGAATTCTTAAACCCTTAAGTTTCTGATCCTTACAATTCCCATTCAAACAAAATCAGTGTCTCCTCCAGCTAGCGTAAGATTTTGTCAGATATAAGCAAGTTGGGAAACCAAAAAAAAGCGACCTATTAGTTTATTGAACTGCAAATTCCATTTTTCCATCACATATAATGATGGTAAAGGTAATATGAAGTTTAGTTGGTTCGGCAATAAAAAGTTTAGTTTGGCAATATGAAATTTACTTGGAAAAAAGTGGAAGAATTCCGACAAGTATTTTATTTTAATAAGAAATGGAGGCCTTAATGCCCTTAGTAAATTAAAATGTTTAAAACTACAGCCCTTAGTGAATTAAAGTACTCAAAAAATATTTACACTACAGCCCTTAGTGAATTAAAATTTTCAAAACTCGTCTTCCAACACCTGGGATTTCCAAAACACTCATAACATAGCGCCATCGAAGACATAGAAAGGTTACAACTGCATTATTCATCCCAGCTAATATAATTTGCATAACAGTAAATTGACAGAATGTTTTGGAAAACCCAAAAAAAAGTTAATTTTTAACTTCAAGAGAACAGAATTATAAGAACGTGAATGCGGTGATATGTAATAGGCACGATTCAATGCAATTATCAATGAAAGGCATGTAGTGACCTGTCACCAACAACAATTGTGACAAAATAGGAAAATATTTCATACATAGTGAAGAGGTGATTATCAAACAGTGCTAACAGACATCGAGGTCACTGCTCACTATGAAGGATGAATGGATTCTACGATCAATATGATGGCATTAGGGTGGGATTTTTTCTAACTTCAAGTAATTTCGAAGTTTGGGCTGCATTTCTTAAAGAGGAGAGCATTAAGTTAACAGATTATTCAGCTTCTTTCAATAAAGAATCATGGAAACACAGCGGAACATAATGCATCACTCTCATGGATTTCTAGGAGTATTTCAGTCCCAGAATTGAAAGGTACAGAAATATTGCCATCCAAAACAATATGAGCATTAGTACACCTCGACCTGACTCGTATCCTTTTAGCGAAACCATGCTGTATTCCAGCTGGGAATGTTGCATTGAATACTGGATCGCGAACTGTGAATGCTATTGCTACAAATAACACTATAATACTTAAACTTCTGCCAGCTACTGTGGAAAGATCAAGAAAATACCGCAACATAATGCTAACTGATAAGTCATCAGACTATTTGCGATGTGCACTTTTTTTAAAGATTTTCTTTTTCATAAACTGGGTTGCATACCGGAACTATATTGATGGCAGCCGTATTTTGTTAACTAAGAACATACTTGTACACTGCGGATCGAAAAGTAACTTTCCATTGAAGCGTTTGCATATTTCCTGGGTGATAGCATCCGTTGGATCAACAGCAAGCAAATTCATACCTGCCATTACGGATAACAAATCGCTAACTTTTTGCTCCGAAACACGATTGATGTTGTAATTCCTGAATGAAGAATAACTTGTTAAAGTTTTAAGATTCTGATTGCAACGACGAAATGCACTGTGACGATCAAAAATTTTTGAAAGGTTACATTTTTTTTTTCTTTTTTTTTGTATTTTACAGCTGTCCAACCCTTCATTTAATCTGTGTTATCTCATGTACTCAAGAAAAGGGCCCTCAGTTTTTGAATGGCCAACCATGCAAAGCGATAACGAAAACTATTCCTGTACTCTGAATGTTCAGATTAATTCATGTATTCATCATCGAAATTGAGTGTTAATGTATTCCAGTGCCACTCTGCGATGTTTAAAAGATGATATGTTTCTGATTTTAAACTGCCAATGGAGACGAAATTTACACACTAAGTTTACGACAAAATTTGCGCTTTTACAATACTGTGAAATTGTTGTTAAAAACTCGTTCATCAATTAGTTTTATACACTTCCACCCAGAAAAATTAACCTATATCTCAATTCCTAAACACTTTACCGTTTCTTTTTCATCCCGTGAAAAGAATCACTGGAAATGTCCGGTCATTCAATGCAGCCCGTCTTCTGACGATGGCGCGACTGCACGCCGGACACGGCCATACATCGGCTTCCTGAAAGAAACGAAATACAAGCTAACATTTATAAATGCTACACAGAAGGAAATCAAAACGCATAACTAAGGTAAATTTTATTAACCATGATGTAGAGCCTGTTCCAGTGCAAGCTGTCATACCGGAGCTTTTCTGACGTACCACTGTACCATCATCAATTTGAACATCATAATAGCTAACCCGAGAAGCATGACTTTCACCGATGAACACATCATTAAGAGCTAACAATGGATACTCAGGATAGCCATTATCTTGTAAAAACAACCTAAATCAAAATGAAAAGTTTACCACAAAAATAACTTAATGTCCATCGATTAAATTTAAAAAAAAGTGGCAGCAGAAAATCAAATGCTGAATGTTATAGAATACAAAAAAATTATTTTAAGGATGAACACATCGTTGAGAATCAGAAATGATAATATATATCCAACGTGAAGAAAAAAGAAAAAGACAAATAAATTAAAATAAAATATAAGCAATAACGATGAGATAATACGACAAAGATAAAATCAAGGAAATCCTTCTGGAAGGATTAAATGAAACCTCTCTCAGACTTTTACGAAATAAGGGTAAGAAGCTTGTCTACCACTACAAATTCTGCTGTAAAAGATTTATGAGAGAACCATGTTGGAGAAAAAGATCATGAATGAATACATTAAGTGACAGGATTATGTCCTGAATTTCAAATTTCAAAAGAAGTTTTAGCATTAGAGTGGTCGTGAATTATATCAATATACTTATGTAATATTTTGCCAAAGTTCATATATAACGGAAATTTTCATATTAATAAAGCCTGGAAATGACTGTGGCTTGCATTATAGACATTTTAGTTAAAATAAGTTATATTGTGCCAACCGATATTCTAAAATGCAGTCCTTTTTCACATCCTATTTATAAGAAATCTCCTACTTTTTTCTTCTTTTTTTTGAAATATGCGTGCAAACCACTCAGAATAAATCGGTAGTAAAAGAAAAAAGAAAAAAAACTGTTGGAAAAACTAAAACATGAAAAAAAGCAGAAAAGATTGACCGGGCTTCACGTAATTTGTCGCTTTTTTCATGATATTCTTCATCAGATTCCGCATTATTTTTGTCATTTTCTACCCATTTTAATATCGTAACACGTATCCTTTGTCTTCGAATCCACCTTCAAACATGTGCTTCAAATTTAAAATTCGTGATGAACAGATCTTGAAGTTATGAAGCAAAATATGCCAGTAATGCAACTGGAAAAGCTTAAGTTTTTTTCAAAATTATATATCGAGGAAATCCTTTTGAGAAGACGGTTAAAATTTGACTTGAAAAAAGATCAAAAAAAGTAAGGTCTTGAACGATTAAGAGCCCACCAATGTGGCATAACCAAATGGTATAGCACTGCTAAATAATACTGCACCTGCACTCGCCCTTGAGTAGTTTCTCGATTATTTCACCAACTGGCTGTGTTCTTTTCCTTGTTATACACAGATATCCTTCGGACCTATATATTTTCTAATATTAATAGGAACTTGCGAACATTTCCTCTAATGAATCTGAGTTTCTATAAGATCATCACTTATCTGGAACCTCACTACTTAAGAGCACAAATCACAAAGAGTGCAAAATACCGGAACCTTCTTCAACTATAGCAGCGAGCTATTACATGTTACTCGTCAGCTTAGCTGCAATAACGCATAGGTTCAATACTTCATTAGAGAAGTATTTACAAGGAAAAATTTTATGTACATATTTGCAACCGCTTCAGCCAATTCACTATTTGCTAGACGTTATTAGGATTAAACTTTGTTATACCTTGCAGCTGTACTATCCATCTCTACGACCATGAAAAGTTTAGTAAAGAAAAACGGAAAGCAGTAAAAAAAAGGAAAGGAAGTCGTAAGAATTATCACTGAAAATACCCCATTGGATCAGTATTGAAGCCAACAACAGCTCGATGATCACGTATTTTTTCAGCAGCCACCAAAAAAGTACCATCACCTCCAGCCGAAAACACAGCATCTGCATGGGCTACTACTTCCATTGTATATTCGCTTCGCGTCACAATTTCCACTTCAATTCCTCGATTTCTAGAAGAACCAAGGATAAGGTGTTAATATAGGGATGAATTTATACTATCAACAATTTCGCTTAATTTTAGAAATTTTAGCACTGTCGCTAAGTCGCTGCTCTCTAAAGAATGGGCATGTCTATCAGCAATAAACCTCCTCAACCTGGATAATGATAGACTTGAGAGATATCAATACAAAGCTGGATCTAGGAAATTGAAAAATAACTAAAGCAAGAATTATTAACCATGCATTATCAAGCGAACAGTTTCATGAACAATAGAAGAGTTGCAAAACAATTTTAATTCATTTTGTCAACGATCCAATTTAAACCCTCTACATCCACTATCGCTATATCTATTCCTTAATATTCTTTCATCCTTGCTGAGAAACCAATTTACAAGTCCGAATAATTGCGACCTGTAAAATGAAACAATAACTTACTCAAGACATTGGCGCATAGTACGAATATAATTCTGCTGCTCAGTGTGTTTCTTTTTCATTTCCTTATAATTCCAGCCACTTCTTTTTAACTGGAAAAATATAACGAAATACGAGCAAGAACTAGCAAAAAAAATTAATGGAACTGTTGAAGACTGAAAAAGTATAAGAGAACACTTTATGCATTTTGAAATGACTGAATGAGTTTTGCAGAGCCGATAGAAATTTTAACTGGTAGTTAGTAAGCATTTTTTTCCTTAAATTTCCCTGTTTGGTGTAGACGTAATGAAACTGATCAAATCTCAAACCAGTGAGCAAAACTGAGTGCGACTCAGATGCAGGTGTTTCCGCCTCTCATAATCCAACCTAGTCGTCTTTGATAAAATCACTACATGCTTTGGCAAGAATATTAGTCCGGGATACATCCTTGACTTCTAAAGTGGTATTTTTTTAAAACATAAACGCACACATTACATTTTGTCTCAAAATATTTATATAACTTGAAAATAACGACGGATTAAGAATGCAAAAATTAGAGAAATTTACATTTTTTGTGCACAAATCGCTATTGTCTTCTTCGCACTCGAAATCATTATTGTTAACATTTGTTCCACCAGCTACCATTTCCGTACACTTTCTAATTAGAATAACTGGAAGTTCTTGAAAACTTGTACTAGTTAATCATATCATGTGGTACATAAACGACATTTCAGAAATAATTTTGAATACTGATTCTAAAATACCTATTCATAATTGCTTAGCTAATCATGCGCAATTTCTGCTTAAAATAATATTTACTCCTTTCGATCAAAACAATAAAGCTGCTGCATTTCAAGCAGCATATATCAGTTACACAAGATTCAATAGCAGACCATTTTCCTTATTTGCCTCCATTACAATTTCTGTAATTGCTAATTTTCCAAAAACAATAAAAATCAAAGCGCTCTAACACTCTGTTTTTGCTAAAAGATGAAAAATATCAGGAACAAATACAATACGATCCAGTTACAAAATTCCACAAATATTTCCGACGAGATCGAATCTCGATACAAAAACTGATTCGAAAATATAAAAACAGATCAGCTGAGAGAACTCCAGACCCCAATTAAAAAACGAACAAAAACCTACCTGCCATTAGGCTATGGAACGCTGCAACAAATCGTTTCATCATATATCATAAACTTGAATTCTTTCCTAGTTTTCCCGCTTCTATCCTTTCTCTTCCGAGGTCTATTACAAAATACAAAAACAAAAAGAATCCTATATTCATCGAATGTACTTTAGGACAGGGCAACAGCATGAATTAATTCAAATTACAGCTTTTCTAAACAACTATTAAAGTTGATTGTTGATAAATCAATCGTCTTACTATATTTTTGTCAGTATGAGAAGTTGAGCTCAACAAGAGAAACTCTCTCCTTTCGATTCATAAATTTACTTTCTCATGATGGTATTTCCAAATACATAAGATTTGTCGAATGTTTTGCTTTATTCCGAAATGAGAATAGTTGTGTAGTGGTTTAGAGAACCAAATGCCACTGTAACCACATCACTGACTGTAACAATGAATAGTACAAAGAGAGGAAGAAAAACAAGTTCAAAAATGGCGACCCTTTTTAAAACTAATCTTGAAAAAAAAGAAAATTTCGCATTTAGTCGTTCCTTTAAAGAGTCGATGACTCAGCAAACAAACAGTTATAACAAGTCTTGCAGTTTAACTCTAAAAAAAAACCTAATTTTTTGGTGCATTTTAGTGGAATACTTATCGATGTAAAAAAACACTCAAATTCATATAGACTTTCGGAACGGAATTTCCAGTAAAAAGATATAATGATGCATCTCTTAGGGAACAGATGATATATTTTAAATAGGTAAAGACTTGTAAAACATAAATTTAGTCTGGACATGCTTTCAAAGCAAAACAGAACTTATGACTTTGTACATGGTAAAAAATAGCACCAAAGGAAGCAATCTTTTCTAAAAATATTAAGAACAATTTCATGCCGACATGGAATATTCCTGACATAAGACTAGAATAAATCAAAGGATCATCAGAGTGGATAGGATGGTAGGTACGGTTGCTACTTGACGATAACAGATGACAAAAAAAAAAATACCGGTAAAAGAGAAATGATGAAAAATTATTAAAGGAAGCTCTACGACAAACTTTTTTTCCGGCAAGTACCTTTCTACAAATACAAATTTGTCTTACATAAAAGCTGCTAACAGGAACAACTGACGGGCTAATAACTGAACTGCGGAAGTGGAAGGAATTTATCAACAACTGCATGCCATCAATTTCAAAACGTCGATGAATATATACACCAGGTAAAACAATTATTCACGCAAATAAGCAGGCATTACTGTCCTTGAGTGAGGAGACCTTTGTAGTTCGTTACGAAATAACACATCACGCGTATTATGAACAACATAGGACACTGCTCTATTTATGAACTTTTCTTCGATCAGAGATCTGCAAATTTATCACAAGATGATCATAAAGATTTGCCATAAGTCTTCATATTCTGAGCATGGCAATCCTACGTAGCCTTGCGAAACATTGGTAAAAGCATCACCGCATCGAGAAGCACAAGACTAAAATAGAAAAATATTGAACTGTCACAGCCTCTGAATAAAATTTTTGATGATGTCTGATAAAAATGACAACTTGCAAACACATAAACTACCCAGTATCCGCTAGGAAACTCTTGAAAACTCTACTCTTTTATGTAGCTCACCAGAGTGAAATACGCATTCTTCATGATGGAAACATCGAACAAACAGCAACAGAAAGCTTTTATTATGAGCTTTTTTTAAAATCGGAGCCCTTTCCACCAACGAAAAAAATTTCCACTACAATCAAATTTCTTAACAAAGTGATAAAATACCAAAGCAAAAATTTATAAATGCTTATTTACAAACAAGTGCATAAGTTGAATGAAAAATGATTTGTAACAGATCCACCCACTACAAAAATATGTTGAAAATACGTATTTTTAGGGTATACTCTGAATGGCAATTACATCAAGATCTTTTATACGAATTGTTTGGCTTTATTAACGTTACCATTTCATGCCCGATTAAAACTCAGTTACTGTATTATCAGTCTCATTTGCGAAAGCCTGCAAGATTCACTTGATGAATTTCATTTAACTCGCCATTTTAATTATGCTTGCTATTCAGGGATTTTTCAAACTAGTGATATACTGCTGATGAAAAACACGTCCCACCTCAAGTGGGAGAGAATGGAAGTAAAAATGACATTCTTATAATATGCCCCGACGTATTTGCAGTACTGATAACAAAGAAGATGTCACTTGGTGACACAAAAGTGGGTGCTGTAACATTGACACTAAGTAGGGCAAACATAATTTCCACCATGAATCACATCACGAACGAATACTACCGCACTAAATATTTACAAAGATAATAATATGACTGACGTGCACGTTCCACAAACTTTGATACCGCACATAATAAGAGTTCTCCCATGGGCACGATAGTTCGTGACAGTGGAGATCACTATTTTAATTATTAGAAAAAGAGCCTCATTCAACAGCTTTTCGATAACTGATCTTAAACGTGATTAAAAAAATTAAAAAATCTTATCTTCATATTTCCGAACAAAATACAGGAAAATGATGAACAAAAAAAAAAAAAAGAATAAAAATAAAAAAGATCATCTTTTACAAATAATAAAACGAAATGTACAAGCATAACAAACCAAGAGTTCTATACGAAACAACTGTATCATCGGAATGATCGCTGATATTACAATGAAAGTAAAAACTGCAAATAAATAATATTGTCACTTTTTAAGAGAATAATGCATGTATAACAAATCCAGTGAAAATATGAGCATGATAAATTGTGGGTTAAAATGAAAGAGGAAAAGACGGATTCAAAACGAGAATTCTAAACCCGTTCCATGAAATCCATACAGGATCTCATCCTTTCAAAATCCCAGTATAAAAATATTTTTAATAGAAGTATTCGTATATGTCGTCAGTCAAGATGCACTATCACCACAATATTTTTTATGCCATATTCTTATCACTAGCTACTGCCAACAGTGTTCACTGGCGTAAGTTAACTACTTTTCAAAATTAGTATTTGATTCAACTGACCATCTACCTAAGTTCAAGCGTGCGAAAAAAAAAACGCTTCCACAAATGTTTCGAACTGGCCATCACAATGTTTTAAAACACCCACGCCTTAAGTGAAAAGCAATCCAAACCACGTTTTTAGCATTAAAATTAAATGGAGTGATGACTTTACAAAATTCAAAATGCTGTCTGAAAACTATGCTTAAGCACAAGGTTTCCAAATATGCATCCAGTTGGGTTTAGAATGGCGAGATCTAATATGTGCCACAAAAGACGGAGTCGGTTTAGACAAGATCAGTAAAGAACCCGCGTCCTGTAGTTTAGCCTTGCGTGAAACGGGGGTCGACAACGATCCAAATGATAAGTGGAGACCTGCACCAGGAAACAACTCTGTTTGCTTTGATGTAAGACCGTTTAAATTTTAAATTTCCTTTTAAAATCTAAAAATTTCAAATCATAAACTTCCGGTAAATATCAAATGCCCCTAAAAAATTTAAATACCACATGCGAAAGTTACAAATATGAATTGAAATAAATATCATTTATAAATGTCTTATTTGCGATAGAATTGATATTTCATATCCAATGATGTTGAACAGTTGGTCAAATTAATGATTTTCAAAGGAGATAGTAAACAGAACTGTACGTACTTATTGTAACCTGCTGTGTCCAAATGCTGATACCGTGTACCTAATTAAACGAACGCCGCAAACGCATCGGTCATGCTTTGCGTTCGTAACTTATCATCATGAGAAACGTGGCACTGACTGGTACATATGGCGAACTGAGGTAATTTCTGAGCTTTGTTCTTAAAATTCTAGAAATGTTGTATATTTGAAAAAACGAACATAGGAGATATCCATTCCTCGAAAGAGACCGATAACCTGCTACTCACCAATAAGACGTATCCATCATTAACATGGCTGAAAAATCAAACTGAATAAAGAGGTAATCATTTCAGAACTGCCGTTTGTCCACAATAACATTCACGATTCGATGTGAGTTTCATTTTGATCGCAAAGAATTCCCAAGTGATGAGGAAATATTCAAGAAGCTACGAAAGGCATAATACAAACTTTACTTGATGTACGCTAATGTAACTATTGCTTGAAACAGTAATAGTTCTCAAAAGGAACCCCATAAGATCTTGATGAAAATGTCATCTTATAAGAATCCCCTAGAACTAATAGCATCCATTCCCGTCTCTGAATCTACACCTCCTCTAACTTCAAGACAGTGTCCACATACACAGACATATACATAAGAAATATATATATATATATATAATAAAACCCAGCTATTCATCCACCCACCACTGTCAGGAAACCCCTACAATAACTGGTGAGAAATTAATTCACAGTACGACATTCCGACTGGGACACGATGCAACTTCTGTTCTCCCTTGTTCTGTCATATGCAAAATTCGCTTCTTCCTTACAGTCTTTAGGATTTGAAATGTATTCATCATTTCCACAGAATTTGGTTCTGTCCAGTAATAAATAAGGAATATAATGCGCAAATGGTCCTCCATTTCACAAATTCAATGCTGTTGTTTCTTCTCTTTCGGCCTTTACAATGTCCTGCTACCGTACTCAAATTTCTCCACTTTATTACTATCCTCTCTCATCCTGCTAATGAACAGAGAGTGGAGTAATTGCGATGACTAAATTTCCTGACAGCCTAATTTTGGAACATTAATTTTAAATTCGCTTCAAACTCAAACTTCCAAAATACAATGCTTGTCTTCAAGCGACAGCGGTTAGATGTCATACATGGACAAATAGTATCTTCGAGAAAGCCACTCACTTAAAGACCAGAATATAATGAGCACAACGTAAAACAAACAGGTCTAGTAATACAAGTGAATTTTTAAAACAATAGTTATTTGGGTTCCATTTTATAATCCAACGATTTTAGTACTCTACACTGAACTGGTAGGAAACTCCATGCTCCAAAAACAAGCAATTCATAAACTTGAATTGGTGGTCATAGATACTTGGTTTTACCTATCTGTTTGCTACTGCAAAGTATTTCTGCCTAGACCGATCGGTACTTTATAGGAGTAGTAAGTATTCGGATTTTTAGCAAATCATCTAACACCATCATTTTTAGGGAAGAAAACGAGTATTTAATGACAGTACCTTCACTAACACCTGTGCTCTTTTTTAAACTACGAGTAATCGTTAACTTAAATTTCACTGAAAAGGAAATTTTACACTTCAGACGTTTTAGACATATAACGTTTAGTTTGTTTAATTGGCTTTTGTCACTTTCACTAGCAACTTCAATACATTTGAGGAAAAACACTTCTGGGTCTTACTTCATCATTTCAAATATATAATAAATCTGAGATTACAAGAGCAAATTTTTATGACTGGTTCGGAATTTAAAAATTGGATGATGGAAACAACGGTTAATGGAAGGAAAATCCTTTCTTTGCCCTCATATATTTCCGAGTTTTTACCTCAAATATGGTAAAGGACGCTTGAAATAACTCCAAAATAATCTCATTATAAGAATTATCAATGAAAGTTTAAAAAAAGCGATCGAAATGCGAAGGCTTGGGAAACTATGGGAACAAGTGAAATAAGAGATATGAACAGTATGATATCGTCAAGCGGAAATCTTGCAGTCTTTTTTTTTCTAGTGGAGACTTGAGAAAGTTGAAGGAATATGCTGTCTCCTTTCTACAGTTTTGCTAAAAATCCAAAGTATGACATCTCGCAAACTCCACTATTTATATAAGTTTATCAGGGTAATCTAACTTTTGTAATTTATGGCAGCAAGGAATATATACGAACAACTGCAACATCAAGAAAGAAATAAGCAATGATATATTAAAGGTTCATGTTGAATGCCCGATGAAATACATCGAATGGAAGTGAATAACCACTTATACTAATTACTCTCGGAATTAATTGGTAATGGAAGTTACGAAAACTTGCCTTTTTTTAGTTACTGGGTTTGCTAAAAGAACTGTAAGTGTTGCCCGAAGTAATGCTCTACATTTACCGATTTTTTTGTCACTCTGCAAAAAAATTTTACCTGTCATGTCATGTCATGTTATAATAGCGAAAGCGAGCTATCATGTTATAATAATAGCGAAGTGAGCTATCAATTTAATTTTAAGGACAGATAAAATTAATGGAATTCCAAATAACTGTGATTTATTTAAGTTAAACTAAATTTAAAGAAACGGAAATTTGCATCACCTTTTTGATGTGGTTGAACTTCCGAATCACTTTGACATTCAATACACTGCAGTTCTTGTATATGACGCAATCACAAGCCAAACACTGCCGAATATCACGCCAATCGTTAGGCCATTTATTTGAAAACACCAGCCGGCAAAACTGTTGATGAAAAATTCACGGTACAACTTAATTTCTTATCTGCATTTGTTAACAATTTGTCGTCTTTGATTCACTATACAGCTTCTTAAGTACTAGTATTCCCGCCCGAAAAAATGTCCCTGTCAAACTAGGTACTCCCAAAACATTGTTTACATTTTGAAATGTTTTTAACTAGTATGCTTTCAAAGAATTTCTATTCTCGAGAGGAATGGAAGAAGCATTTCAGAATGTGAGCAATATTTTTGAAGTTGGCGAATCAAAGGAGAACATTTGTCACCATCGAATTATATCTTCACATAGAAATCCTACAGACTGAATAATTAATTACGATACGCAGTCAGTGTCTGTTTCTGACTTCTGTATCTTTGTCGGTTTGTATAATCACTAAAATCCATGAAGAAATGAAGCAGAGTGATTTAGAAAACCCAAATGTATAATGTACTGATGCAGTTTCCGATGGTCAATTTGCGGACCACAATATCAGTAGGATGAACTTATTGGCTAAACAATACATGAAGTTTTGCCAGGATGTGAACTCACTGAGAGACTTTTAATTTATAAAAAAATGAGAATGAACTGGTTGATTTGATTTCCATTTTACGAAAAAGAGGTTAGTTATGCAGAGAAGAGACCCGATATAAAGACACTTAAGCTTGCATATGACTGGAATTTCAAACTCATTTACTGACTTCAGTAAGTTTATCAGATGTGGAACTTTGGCTTGACGCCGGGCCTACAGCAACGTAGCGCAATATGGCTTTGTGTATCGATCTCAATTCAGAGTAGATGCTCTTCCTCTCTCTCTTTCATGCGCATATATGCATTCTTTGAACATCGAAGCCTAAGCCATGCGAAGCACGCCGTTTATCGTTAGATGGATTGGCTGTACCTCCCTCTTCTTGCCTTCTTTTCGCTTGGCTGGGGCAATCTTTCTAGAGCGCCTGTGCTCTCAAACTTATCAACCCATATCTTTCGTGGCCTGCAGTATAACCGCCTTTCCTAGAGCACTACTCAAAAGAAAAGACCATTACGGTGCGGACCAGCTATCTTAGCCAGTCTTATTTTCCGGCATTTGCGCTTTATCAGTATTTCCTGCTGTGATTCTCTACCACTTCATCATCTCACTTATTACTGCTTGTAAAGTGAGATTTAACTGAAGTTCTTTTCTCCCTTCTGTGCTATTTCAAACGTTATTACCACTTATTAGTGTCGTCCTGACAATAGTTACTTTCAATCGCCACTCTCATTGAAGATCACAGTTAATTAACAAGGATTCCAACGAATAAGCCCATTAAGCAATTAGCGAAAATCATGATAAATTAAGCCGGTTAAACCCGGTCTAATGCCAAAACGAAGAAGCAGCTCAGCTGTTAAGTTTCTGCTACTTATCCCTTCTTTTCTCTTAGCCCACTTTAGCAAAATTTTATTTGGTTCTATAAATTTTCGACTCATAATATTAAACGGGATTAGGTTCATGTAGTCCGTTTGTATCGATTAAATTTATGCTAAATCACTGTATAGCTATCGAGTTGCTTACTGTAAGACCTTATCATTTCAAATATTTCCGATCAAAATATTTTTGCGAAGATTCCCATATGTTCATTTTGTGCAACGACATAACATCTACCATCGTCGTAGTGCAAAACGATTTTCTAAAATTTCCAATTCGAAAATCTCGTTGATTTCGAGAATTGATCTTTTAAAATTGATTGGAGTATGTGACGGCAAACTTGTTACCCATAAATCCTTCGGATCTCCCACCATAATTGAGCAAAATTAAGCACCAGTTTTTTTTTTAACACAAAAATTTTGATCTGAAAGGAATGTTTATTTTCAATAGTTTTTAAAATTCGTGAATTGAGGCATTTGAACGATATTGATCTACTTCAAAATGGAAAAATGAAAACAACGAAATGATAGTCTCCTTGGTTTAGACCAAGTTCTCTTCCACTTCACGAGATCTTTTCTTCCCGTGGTTCCAACAATTCGTGCTTTGGCAAACTCATTCTACACTGATTAGAGATTCTTGTTTCACTTTTTTCATCTGATAGCTTAAACATTCTTCCTGATATTTCCAATCATTTTGTAAATAATGCCCTTAAGTACTTACGTTATGTCAAAGTGAAACACCCGATAATCTAGAAAGTCATATTGAATTACTCTTTAGATAATTGCACTGATGAATGAAGTCGCTTTGAATTGAACAAGAAAAACGGACTTTTTCTGCACAACTTTAGCTATAACGGTTTCTTGACGGATCTTTACAAAATCCCTTGTATTACATTTCCTACTTTTATTCAAGTTCGAAATAATGCAACCTTTATTCCTGTGAATTCAAAGATCCAGTTGAGAATATTATATAGTCTTGACAATGTATATGCTAATGGATGACACAGGCGTTAACTAGTAGCGAACAAAAAATGATAGAACAAAAAAAAAAATAGAAATAAAACCAATAAGAACTAAGAAGAAGCATTAAGCATCCATCTACACCACCAATACATTTTGGCGAAAGGATGATAGTATAGTAATTAATCTTAATTAATGAAACTTAGATCAAATATAAAGCTTTTGTTAATTCTTATATCCGGTTGTCTTTTACAAATCATCAAGTCAATATTATATGGTTAAGAATTAATATAGGCATAAGAAGTCCTTTTGTATGGAATACTTCTAATCTAATCATAAACAAGTAAGCAAAGAATGAAATTGGGATCGTTGCAGATTGTGGAGATAGAATGAATGATGTTGAATTGCAGTTGTACAATGATAGAATGGATATTCTTGAGTCATTTAGACTGTACTGTTTCGAGATATCTTTAATTTGAGATGAGATACCTCCAAGATCATCATACTGATTTTAAATTACGAAAAAGTGCAGTTTTGAATGTTATCGCGGATGAAAGCGTATTTTTTCCCTAAGTGAGAGAAACATCGCTAAACAGATTATCGCTCAATTTATTTGTCCGTTTTAATGCTGTATTCTAATAGAAGATGTATAGCATTCATATAAACGGATATTTCTGATAATACAGGAAATTTCCTAAAAATAATAGTAATGTGGTAAAATTTCCACTTTGGATGGTATATTAGGAGAAGGGAAAAACACTCAATTCTTTCCCGTTTACGTAAGTTATTGCGGTAAATAATTTAAGCAAACAGCAAAGCAAGAGGAGCAAATGAAAGATTCTCTCCCCATACAGAACTTTTTATATTCAATAAAATCAAGCAGATTTGTCAAAATTTTAAGAAGAATAGTCTTCGAATGGGTGGGAGAAGAGTCGAAAGTTCAGGTACGCGTAACCGACCACAAAAAGTTAGTAGCTAAGTGAGAGAAAAGAATTCTCTTACCATAAATTCCAAACACTTTCAGACAAATTTTATAGACATTTCAAAAAGAAAGGCTAGGAATTTCTAGGAAATTTTGACAAATCTGCT